CTACAGCAATACTCCTCTTCCTTTGATTGGCAAGAGTAGGGGGGGGGGGGGGCGTACTCTTATGTTTTGCATGCCTTAGCGGTTAGACTATTTACCACGCGTCCTCTCCACGCGTCCTCGAGAGGACGGAGCATTGTTTGGGAGGGGGAGGGGGTCATCAGATTCGCGATTGTTTGCCCACTTTTTTTTCTCGAAGCGTGAGGTGGTGTCCTTGCTTGTGCATGTTCTCGCTTTTTTTCTGGAGCTCGCCCATTACGTTTGGTGTTGTGGCACTCGTCCATCCGCCCCAACCTCCCCTGCGCCCCCTACCCCCCACCCCCCCCCCCGTCCGTTTGCGTTTTTTGTAGGATACACGACTTCCTCCACCGTTTCCGCCTCCTCAATACCCGCACCGTCGGTAAGCGCCCGGCTTCCTACTCCCTAGCGCCCCCCGCCCCGCACCTGTGGAAACACACACCCCGGTCCGCGGGACCCGCTCCTCCCTCCCTGCCGAGCAGCAACAACGACGGGCGGACAGGGCGGCGCTTCTGCTGCTGGTGCTGCTGCTCCAACGACGACAACCGCAGAACGAGGGCTTGGGCGGGGAGAAGGGGGAGGGGAGGCGGGAGCGCGGCGGGCGCCGCAGCGGGCCGACCTGGGCTCCGGGGCCGGCGGCGGCGGCGGCGGCGTCGACGAAAGGGAGTGGCGCCGGGAGGAGCTGGTTCTCCTGATGGAGGCGGCGGTGGCGAACCCGAACCGGTGGGACGCCGTGGCGCGCCAGGTCGCGGGAGGGCGGACCCCCGCGGAGTGCATGCAGCGGTTTCTCAGCCTGGCCGTCGAAGATGTGGTCCAGGGCAACGAGAAGCCTCCGGTGGCCGTGCCGGCGGCGGCTTCCGCTGGGACAGGGGCTACAGTCGAGGAGGCGGCGGGCTCGACGGGGGGGGCGGGCGGCGGGGGGGGCGCTGCTGCTGCTGGCCAGCAGGCCGCAACCGCTGGCGGCTGTAGTAGCAACGGCAACAGTGCTGGTGCAGCAAGTGGCGAACGCAAGGACGCAGGTACCACCCCCGATCAAGGAGGCTTGCACGATCGACTGAACCAGCAGCAACAGAGACCCGACTATTTGGGCCCAGAGGTGCCCGCGCTGGTGCTCGCGTCGGCGCTTGTCTCTAGCGTCCACCCGGAGGTGCTCAAGGCGGCGATGTCCGCCGCCGCGGAGGCTGCCGACGCCGTCGCCGCTGCCGCCACCGCGAACCAAGACAGAGATAGGGGTTTCCCGCCCACCGGGGGTAGCGGCGGTGGAGAGAGAGCAGGGGTAGCGGCGGCGGTAGAAGGGAGCGGCAGCAGACCAGGGGAGGAGGACGGTGACGTCGAGATGCCAGACGTGAAGGATTTAACCGGGCCGGCACCTAGAAGCCGCCCAGGAGAACCACCGGCAGTGGACACGGCGCCCGTCGCCGCGAACGGCGGCGAGGCAGGGGCAGGAGAGGATGGTCGTGTCGCTGCTGCTGGTGCCCCGGGTTCACGAGCGGCTGGGGGCTGTGCCAGTGGTAGCAGCAGCGCCGGTGGGCTTGAGCTGGCGACCGCCGCGCGGGCGGCGGTGCTCTCGGTGGCCGGGCTGCAGGCCCGCGGCTTGGCGGAGCAGGAGGAACGGCGAACAGAAGCGCTCCTCGCGGACCTCCTCGAAGCCAGGTATGTCACCATATTGGTCGGGAGGTGTCCTACTTGTATTGTGTCGGGGGAGCTCCGAATGTTGTGCGGTCCTTTCTGTACCTATTTTCATTTTCCTCCTGAAACTCCCGTTTAATCTTGCACAAAAACATTTTGTATCACTGAATAATATCTGTCCGGGGGGATAATGTGATGATTGTGTTCGGAGTCGATGAAGGCCACGCCAGGAAAAGGGACTACAATGCCTTCTCCGTGGCCTGCAAGTATTTTATATTTGCCTGCCTTTATACGTCATCCCCAATCTAGTCGTCTCATGGCCCAGAAAGGGGAGGGGTCAAAACGCTACCACGTGGTGCGCCAGATGAAGCGAGATTTCGGTGGCGAGGAAGGTTAGCTACGTAAGAGGGGAACTTCCGTAACACTATTTAGCACGCCTGAAGTACGTCAACAGTAATGCACACGGGAAAGACATCAATCAACCTACAATATGCCCGCAGAAACTACCAGTGTGTTTAGACAAGTTTCAGACAAGGACGCGTCACCGCTGTTGTTCCCGAAAAGGCTAGGAGGGCATACATACTTCCCGACAGCTGGTGTGATCTTTAGCATCGACCGCCGTAACCGGCTGACCAGCTGGTGTGTGTGTGTGTGTGTGTGTGTTTGTTTGGCCCCTAACTCTGTTTTTGTGGGAAATCTCGGGGCGATTGTGAGAGGTCTCCCCGACACGAGCTCGTGTTTTTCCGGGCGGTCTATCCGCGTTGAGGGTGAGACTGCCTCGTTTCACAGCAGTGGTGCTGTTATGTTTTGTTGCGGTTGTTGTTGGTTGCTCGGAAAACGAAGAGAAGGGTGTTCGTTTTTCTGGGAGACGAAAAAAAGGCGGGAAGAGAACGTTTCTTGGGGAGGACATCTATGCAACCGACGCTTTGCTGCCGTGTCCAAGAGTGCTGCAGGTTCCCTTCCTTGGAGGATGTCTCTTGGGGCGGAGATCTAGGTAGATGACAGTCTGCTGCCATGTTCAAGAATGCTCCGGTCGCCCTTACCGTCCCGTCCCCGCCAACCGGCGGCGATTACACCGCACCTCAGAAACGCCGTTCGCGGCATGCCCCTGTTCGTGTGTGTTGTTGCTTGCTGCCTGCGCCTTGGAACTACTGTACTTGCATCGTATTGCACACGGGCCGCTTGCAGAGTTCAACGGTTGGAGGCGAAGCTGCACTGCTTTGATGAGCTCGACCAGGTCAGTTTTGTTGTGTTGTTGTTGTTGTTGTTGTCAAAGAAAATTCTTGTTATTTTCTCATGTCAGTAAGTTCTTTGGTTGTCCCCCCTCGAGCATCATGCAGTACGTCCGCTCCCCGCTGTAGAAATCAAGTCGAGTTAGATCCCTCTTTGAGTTATACCATGATAGCAACTTTATTATGCTCATATGCATGTGTACTTTTTTTCTTGTCGTTGAAACCCACAGACCGGTCGCCACGGTGGTCCAGTGGGTAGGATCTTCTTCAGCAGCAGATTGTGGGTTCGATTCTCTCTCTGAAGTGAAACCACATTTTGGCAGGTTGTGAGCTCGGTTCTCTTTCTGGAATGGAATCACACAATAGCAGGTTGTGGGTTCGATTCTCTCTGTGGAGTGCACAAAAAGGGTCGCGGGGGAGTGGGCAACGATTCATTGGAGAGTGCACCCACTTTTTGTGATCGATGAGGGATAAAGGACGGCTAAAATCCTTCTCATCAAGCAAGCACGGCAGGAGGAAAAATTGGGCACTAAGACCAAATTGCTAAATAGAAAAAGCTCCTGTGTGAGCCCGGCTGCTGCTTCAGTAACATGTACGCCGAAAGGCGTGTAGGTTGGCGCGAGATTAGATGGGACGAAGCACACACCATGCTGAGTATTACAACAACCGTTAGTATGCATGCCGAGGTTATGATTGTGGTCCGGCTCAGGTGCTTTCCTTTTGACGGAAACGCGTCGCGGGCGGATGGAGGCTGGTATGGTTTGCGGGGCGAGTATCTCCATGGCAGCAACAGCTGCGGTTTTTGATTGCGACACCGCTGTGATCCCATTTTGCCGAGCGGATGCCAACCAACGTGTTTGCGTGCAGCACCTTCGTCAGAGAAAGGTTGTCTAAAGACCTTGTATCATTAACGAGTGACGGACACTAGGAGGCAAGAGGGGCCCCGCGCGTCATGTCCATCAAGTCCATGTCATCATCTACGTAATCCCCCCCCGCCCCCCGCCCCCCGCCCCCCCCGTCGGAGGCCCTGTTGATCCGTACTCTGCCGAACACCCCCAAACACCTGTGCTTGTCTCATACCCTGCCGCGAGCCGTGGGGGAGGGGGGGGGGGTACTCATCAGCCGAGGGGGGGGGGCTCGAACGCTACTACAGGGAAGAAACCCGGTTTATTTGCGATACCCCCAGTGTCCGGAGGGAATGTAGCGCTTCCTATTCAGGGCAGGTCGTTGTTGTCGGTATAGTGGCTATTAGTCGGGGTGCAGTAGTGCCAAACGATTTTGTCATCGCTCTGACAGGGGCAATGTCGCTGAACATGGGGTCGCTACAACCAGGCCCACCACTGCTGTTGTTGGATGCGGTTAAAAGATGATCGACCTTGCGCCGCGTGTATGTCGTCTCTTTCGCCTGCCCAGGTGCTGGAGACGGAGCGTGCGTGCCTGGAACACGACCGGGCTGAGCTCGTTTTCGAGCAGGCTAGGTCTATGCTGCCCAAGTAAAACTGCCGCGGTGCCGGCCTGGGAGCTTTGAAGACTTTTTGCCCCACGGCTAGTCCAAACAATTTTTTGCTATTACAAAAGGTGTTATTTTTCTCGTCGTGCAAGGCGCGTGCGGCTAGAATGCAGCTGCGCAAAACAGCGCGTGCGTTGTGGGGCGCGACAAAAGAACGCGTGTGATAGGCATGCAATGCTTCATGCTGGTTGATGAGGGAGGTGTTTAGTTTTTCCGGTCCCTTCCTCTTTAAGTGGGATTGATGTTGGTTTGGTCGATTGGAAAATTCTGGTTTACGTAGTGACTCGATTTGACCTCCTCTTTTTTTTTTCCTTGACGGGGCCCGTTTTCTTCTTGTTTACGTCAACAACTACTGTTTGTGGCCATCTCGGAGGAGCAGTAAAATGTCGCCGACAGGCAGCACGCATGTGACTTGAGTTGCGTTCCGCGCTTGGGTCTGAAAGCTTGAGCCAGGGCGATGCGCGGCGTGAAAAACAGAGCTTGCCTCCTGCCACTCTCGTCCTTGTCGCTGTGCTTGCATCCCTCGACATGCTCGACATGGAAGGTTCGTTTTGTTTGTCGAATCCCCCAACCTTTCGTCGGTGATTGTATGTATGTTGTTGTTTTGTTTTGTTTTGTTTTTCTGGGTTCCGGTTGCAACACAGACGTGCGGGGGGGCAGCGGTTGTTGTAGTTGACCCCACGTGTGTCCAGAAATATCTGTGTTTTGTAATCGTGACGATGTCCTCCCTGCAACCAGTCTTTTTGATTTGGTGCGTTCGTCGGTGTCAATGCGTCCTCCTGCCTTTGTTACTTGCGACCGGCACGGCTCGTGATGGCTTATAAACAGGTTGTTGTTTTGGGTCGCCTTTCCCTTGTATTCGTGCGTGTTTGAGCGGTTGACGGGGCGACCGCCCGTATGTGGGGGGAAAAGGGGCGTGGTTCTTGTTTAGGGCCCCTGTTGTTGGTTGCCGCTGCGCGTGGGTGAATTGTAATGCTAACAGTGGCGTCCTGCACGCCCCTTTTATCCCCGAACACGTGTTTTCTCTCTTGTACGGCGACAGAACTCCCCCCCTGATTGCGTTGTGGTTTTGTAACGACACAATTTAGCTGCTTCTTGTCTTTGGGGAGCCCAGATGTACAGTCGATGAACAACCAAAATGTCAGACGACGCCGAGTGCCACAGAATGAGAGCGCACTGTCAACCCCCTCCCCCCCCCCTCTCCTGCTGTTGCATGTCCCCCGGTGTTTTGAGGACGCGGCGGGTGTGAGAATGGCGTGGTGTCGACCGATAATCCCAACCAAAAGGGTGCTGCTGTTGTTAAATAGTTCGTCCTCCGTTTTGTTTTGTTTCTTGCAATGTTCACCTCGGATCCGTGGGTAGAGATACCACGTCAAGAAGCGCGCTTCTTCGGTGAAGGTCACCGTGTGTATGAACCTGTTTAGTTCGTGAGTATGAGAAAGCTTGTCGTTCCTCTTGTTCGTATGCTACGGTGAGTTTTTTTTTCTTTGCCAGCCGGCGGTGTGCCTTTTGCTGGTGGTTTGGTAGACACGTTGTTTGTTGTGGTATTGTTTTTTTTATAGCAATGTGGCTGCGAAAAGTGATGGCGGCAGCTCTATTTCTGTGCACGAGGATCTCGTATGCATATATATTTCTTTTTGTCGACGATGAACGTACTATAGGACGCTGTATGCGACTGCGACTACAGTAGTGACGACAGTGCTCAGGAGCACTATCGTTGTCCGGTAGACATACAACGTGTAGAACCGCGGAGGTATAGCGCCTTGTGCTCCGCTTACCCCTCGGCCAGCACAGGCGTTTCCTTGTTGCGTGTTTCCATCAGCCCGGCTCTAAGGGGGCAAAGGGGAGTCAAGCACCTGGAAACCCCAAAAATCGCCATTCAGGGCAGCAACCACAATTGATCGGGGGAGCATTGAACTGACCCACATGATTCAGGTTCTTCGCTCACGATGATGAAGTAGATACTGCGAGTGCCGGGAAACAAGCGCTAACAACAAACAAAAGAAAGTAACGTAGTCTACAGCATCAGCTCTTTCCCCCACCCCATCTCGCCCGCTCGCTCGCGTGGAAAACAGTGGTACAAGCATGCACGAGTTATTGAGGAGAAGTAGGACAAGCAAGCGTACCATACACAAATTTTGAAGATGGAGAAGGAATAAACCTGCGGAGAGTTGTGTGAACTCGAAGACTTCCCTCTACTTCCCTGACGAATGAAGCTGTGAAGGAGCCGGACAGTTCATTCATCATCGTCGGGTTTGTTTCTCTTTGTTCCCCAACCACCAATAACCCCGGTGCTTTTGCCCTGATTGGGTGCCGAAACACACGAAGAACGGAGAAAGAAGTTATGACCCGACCTTGTCCGAAATTCATTCCTCCCGTGATTCCCTCATCCTGGCAATTATGTTTTTTTTTTTTTTTTCTTAATACATGTATGACACAACGAAACCATCTCTATCATAGAAACGCAGGGGAGATGTCCCTATATAATATGCTGTCTGGGAAATCGTAGACATACAGGTACTTTCTGACGCTATGAATCCATTGCTAATCTGTCTCAGACTCTTTTCTATGATAGAGAGAGATGGTTTCGTTGTGTCATATTAAGAAAAAAAAAAAAAGAGTCTGAGACAGATTTGCAATGGATTCATATAGACTCTACGTACGTACGTTCGTAGTACACCTTGGCAACTGGCTGCGTGGTGGTTGATTCATTTGTTGTTACACAGTTGGTTTCGCTTCACCTTACCCACACAGGGCTCAGGCTGTTGCTTGATACGTACTTCGTACTTCGATACCAACATTTCATACTAGATATGCTTTCTTTTTACGCTTGCGTTCGAGAGTTCGCGGCGACAGCAGTAGTGCAAAAAATCTCTCCTCCCTCTGCTCCACCGCCGCCCAAATCCTAGGGGCCCCACGGCTCGGAGGGGATGGTATCCGAGATTTTGGGTACCCCGTGTTCCGGTTTGGCTCATCTGCGTCCCTTCCCGGGGGTGACACACACAGCTGCGGAGACGAACGAGAACGAACAAGTGGCGCTAACAGAGGCGTAAGGAATGGGCTGCTTTCCTGGATATCACAACTAGCAAAGGGAGAGTCGCACGGCGTGACGGCGACTTGCTTGGGAGAATAGTGCCGAGGAAGGGGCGCGCGCCTTCAAGAAGAGAGAGAGAGAGAGAGAGGGAGAGACAGAGATAATCGAGAGACCGATAAACCACACACGGCAGCAGCCACACCAGGCAGCAGAAGGTGAAAAAGCTCATGATGTCTTGTTGTCTTGTTGGCAGCAGGAGTGTCCATCGGGGCAGCAGATAAAAGGGGAGACACGCCGGGGCGAAAGGGTGTTAGGACTCATCTTATGGTCGCTGTGTATCGCAGAAGCAACCCCGGTTTTTGCTTGAGGGGGGGCTTGAACGCACATTTTTTGGTCTGTACCATCTTGGACCGCAGCCTCACGGGGCGGACCATGATCCTCCCTTCACGGTTCGCCCTATCGTCCTCAACCGCGAGCGCGGTTGGTGCAGCGTGGCGTGGTTTTCTGCCGGATTCGACCCCCTTGTTCCTCCCGCCTAGGTTTATCCCCCGGTGCCGACCTCCGAGGGCGCATGTTCGTGTTTCTACAATCCCACTTCTCTGTTCTCATGTGGGGGATTCCGGGCGATGACACCCATCTGGTCGTTTGCTGCTGTCATCCCGCTCCATCCTCGAAACGCGGGGGATTTACAAAAGTGCTTCAAGTTGCAAACAACGGCCAAGAATATCAAGGTTTTACCTTGCAACAGCGCGGTGTACAAAACACGCAGGGTGCCCCCCCCCTCCCTCCGTCGGAGATCATGTTGATGTTGTGGTTGTCCCAGCAGTCGTCTTGCAAGAGGGGAGGTTGCCTCAGTAGTATTGCACACAGCTCTGCCGTTTCCGTGTTTCTGTGATCCGACCGGCCAGGAGAGGCGAAAGGACACAACCATTTTTATTTTTTTTATTTTTTTCTTGATATGACACAACGAAACCATCTCTATTCTGAGCACAGATTAGTGATGGATTCATAGCGTTTTTTTTCTCTTTGGTCCGTGTATGACGATTCAAAAAAGGGATGCATATACCATTCTTTCACATCCCGTTCGGGCTGTGGTTATGTGGTTATTTATGTGGTTTTATCTCGAAGGGGTAGCCTTTCTGTGCTTGTATTCATGTTTCCTCTAGATTACCTATACATACAGACTTCACTACAATTATGTCGGAAGCCTGTGACGCAAGAGTTCAACCATTGTTGCAGTCTAAAAGCAAGACGTTTTTTTTCGGTGCATCAGTTCGCGGTCGCCTTGAGACTTTTTTTTGTCGCCGGCTGTTGCCCGCTGCAGCGGGCCAGTCTCTGGATCACAGCGCCCCTGTCGCGAGCTCGAAACTCCAAAGGCGAGTAGAGTTACAGCACGGTAATGCCCGCAACCACTCTTTCAGTCATTGAGCAAGACGTTGCCGTGCGGTAAATCGGTTTTAATTGTTTTTAAATGGGGTTTAAACATTTTTTTCGGGCGTCTTCGCCGACGTGGGCGTGCCACTCTCACGATCACAGCGCCCCTGTCGCGAGCTCTAGAGTCCAAGGGCGAGCCGAGTTACAGCACCGTGAAGTACGACTAAATCTCCTGCATCCGGGGGCGTCTACGGTAGGGACTGTCACCTCCAAGAAATCACGAAGCTCATTGGACGAGATTTGGGAGAACGTACGCCAACTCATAAACCATGACCGACCACCACGCACGTTGTTGTCGTTACATGTAGCACCGACGGCGGATTTTATTGTAAATTGTGCCGCTTGGTGTCAACTAGATATCGACAGACTGCTGTCGTCACCTTCTCTAGCGTAAGCAACGGTAACTGAAGTAATTACTTCGAAGTCCCTACGTGCATCGTGTGTCTTGACGCATGTGCACACGGCAACGTATACATCATGCCTAAAATACACACACACCCGCCAAGTGGCAAGTACAGGTCTACTGCTGCTGCTGCTGTAGGAAGGAATTGAACAGGGTTAGTTAATTTTATTGGTGTGGTACGCCAAAGCTGGCTTGTGCTTTGAGTTCTCGAACATGCATGCACATCTCACGGAAAACTGCAAGTTTGTTTGTCTTCTGTAATACTGTCAACGACGCTGTACAGTGGTATTGAAGATGTTGCCGTAGCCTATACACTCTACCGTATACAGGTGAACGGTAGAGAGTTTATGTACGTTTGTTGTGCAGTGTGCCACTACAAGTATACATCATACCCCTGCCTGTCTTTCACAGGTGAACGGTAGATATACACAAATAGATCAAGTTTTAGTCGTCATACCACCATGTATGCACATTTCGTGGATACCACACGCATTTAGTGGATATTTCCTTGAAGTTAGTCAGAAGTTAATCGGTATAGAGCGTGAAAGCGTGACCTTTTCGTGGAATTCTTTGTTGGTCTGCATAATACATAGTCTGAGGCGAGGTTGCATTAGGGTCGGTCTTAACGAAGAAATCAGATCTCGAAATCACATTTCGATATAAGAATGCAAGAGTCGGATCTACCCAAATCCGGACAGGAATGGCCTGTGTGTCTTAACGGCAGATCTGCCAAATGGAAACGAATCTCTCCAGTCCACCACGAACAACCCGAGAGGTCCGCCGCTTGCCAACTGCCAGATTGCTGTTGTGACGTACTGCTATGACGTGGCCACACCACATGGGGAGCTATCGCTCCCGAGAAGCACACACCAAACGCGTACATGGCCTCTGTGCGGTTCTGACACGATGTCTATGCATGTGACACTTTGAATCGACCCTCGTCCGACGGAAAGCCGCCAATTCGTCTGTGCATTTGAAGTTCGACAACCCACGGGAGATTGCCCCACAGACCAACACATCCCACACACGGTTTTTTTCGGGACCAGTCACGTGCAACAACGATGCGCAGTCACCCTCCCTTTGGGTTGGCTTTGTGCGCTCTTTCTTTCCTCTGGGCTCGGCGGTGGATGGAGTT